ATTGGGAAGGGACCTGCGAAAGGGGTACAAGATACGGTAACTACAACAGGGAATGACCACATGAAACAGTCAATAAACCTTCAGCAAATGAAACAGATAACGGTAATGAATAAAAGCTACACGACAACACCTTTAGTGCTTTTACTCTCAACCTCACCATGAAACAGTAATAATGGCATGGCATCACCCTTCGTGCTTTTACTTTCAATATCTCCATAAAATGATAAATATGGCATGACATCACTCTTCGTGCTTTTACTCTCAATTTCATCATGAAACAATAAATACGACACGGCTTCACCCTTCGTGCTTTAACTTTCTTCCTCATCATGTATTAATCAATAATTGCAACAACACTCGGTACGACATCACCCTTCGTGATTTAATACTCTCCCTTACCATGTAACAATAAATATATAACAATACGGAGATAGAATAAGCAAGAACAAGCCTTACGTCAATAATGGTTTCACAATACCAACCTCAACTTCCGATACAATACTCAAATATCACAAATAACGCATAAATGCGGAAAGAATGATCAATTTAATAATAAACTAGTCTAAGCATGGATATCACTATCAAAGAAGGAAGTAAATTACAAGTAATAAGTCCCACCCGCATGCTTTAACCCAAAAATAATGCATAAGTACTCGTCATGTCACAAATACGTTGTACCCAATACTTAGACATGTAGCAAATAGGCAAACAAGTCCTAATTCCTCAAGTCAAGGTTAACCACGACACTTATCTCGCTCCAAAAATTGACTCAAAGCTCAACACAGCTTTGCCTTTTGAATAAGGCTCCGAAACAACTAAATCTAGCAAATTATCAACCAAACTAATAAGCCTTAGGAACTACCCAAGAATAAAAAAGGTTCAATTTAGGTCATTATTAAAAAAGTTAACAAAAGTCAACTCCCGGGCCCGCTTGGTCCAAACTCAAAATTCGGACCAAAACCCGATTACCCATTCATCCCCGAGCCTGGCTATGTAATTTATTTCAAAATCTGACCTCAATTTTAAGTCTAAATTCTAATTTTACAAAAATCCCTAATTCTACCCAAATCCCCAATTTCCACCATGAAAATCCTAGATTTTAGGTTGAAATCTTATGAAATGTATTGGGTAATTGAAAAAAGTAGGTTAGAATCACTTACCAATAAATTGGGAAGAAGTGCTCTTGGAAAAATCGCCTCTAGGATTTCTAGGTTTGAAAGTTTGAAAGAATGAGAGAAATCCTGGCTAACTAGCTTTTACCCACCTGCAGATGTCGCAATTGCGATATCTTGTTCACAATTGCGAGAAAGTGGTCGCAATTGTGAACTCCTCTCAGAATCCAAGTGATCACAATTGCGATAAATTCGTCACAAATGCGAACCCTGATGCCCTCGCAAATGCGGACCTTTCTTCGCAATTGCGAAGATCATCAAAAATGTGTTGAGTCACAAATGCGACTCTGCCTTCACAAAAGCGGAAATGGCAAGTTCACAGTTGCGAACTTTATCTCGCAAATGCGAGGACCCCCCAACCATGCCTAGGCTCACAAAAGCGAAGGTTTCTTCTCAAATGCGAGCTAGATCTCGCAAATGCTAGATCTGCAACAGACACCAGAAACACAATGCATCAGCTATGAATTTAAGTCCAAATCCACTTTGTAGCCTATCCGAAACTCACTCGATCCCCCGAGGCTCCAAACCAAACATGCACACAAGTCCAAAAATATCATATAAACTTGCTCGCGCGATCAAATCGCCAAAATAGTATATAGAACAACGAATCAGACACCAAATCAATTGAAACTTTCAATGAAACTCAAGAACTTCTATTTCAACAATCGGAAGTCCGAATCACGTCAAACCAACTCCGTTTTCACCAAATTTTGCAAACAAGTCATATATATAGAAATGAACATATACAAAGCTTAGAAACTAAAATCCGGACCCGATAGCAATAAAGTCAAACTTTGGTCAAATATTTGTATTCATTAAACCTTTAGACTTCAAATTTTCGACAAAATGCGGTAACTCGAGCTAGGGATCTCGAATTTGATTCCGGGTATACGCCCAGGTCTCAAATCACGATACGGACCAACCGGGACCGTCGAAACAAAAAATCCGAATACGTTTGCTCAAAACATAAATCGAAGTCATCTCAAATGGATTATTAAGGCATAATTTCACATTTTATTAATTACATAAAAGCTTACCGAAAAAAAGATACGGACTGCGCACACAAATTGAGGAAGGTTAAAATGAGATATTTGGAGTTTCAAAATACAAAATTAGGATTTAAAACTCTAGATGACCTATAGGTCGTTACAATAATATAGTAGAGGCACAACACTTGATTATTGAAAATCCATCGACTACCATCCTTTTCCTCTTCAACTCCGGCAATTCTTTATTTTTTAAATTTCATCTCCTCTCTCCTATCTATTAAAGTTAAAATTTCATGGTGTAAGTGAGAATTTAAAGTCTTATTTAATTATATGGAAAATACAATGATTTAATTAGCACAAACAACTTAATGATTCAAATGGAAGGATGGAAGAACTATGTAAAATGTAACCAGTAAAAAAGTATTACAAAAACGAGTAGGAATAAATAAATTCATTGGGATGACAATTTATTCAAGCACTACCTGCGGAAGAAGCTGTGAATTGTTTTAATGGTGAAAAAGTGGTGGATGGTGATGGAAAGAAGAAGAAGAAAAAAAAGGAAAAAAAAATATATTAAATGGAAAATACACGTGTCAGATTTGGCTAGGCGTGCACATTTCATCACTTGGGATGTAGCGGTCTGGGTTGAATGAAGGACCTCAGCAAAATAAAAGCATGTAGTTGAAAATTCGATTATATTTCGGGGAAGTACTTATGCTTTTTCCGCAGAAATTACGTGATATCTGCTGTCATAATAAATTAATAATTAGATACAATTTATTAGAATTTTCACCCAGGAAAAGACAAATTAGTTATTATGGCTCTATAAACCGTAATAAGTAATTATAGTTTTCCATAATTATATTTTTCCATGACTCAAATAACCTAAAAAAGCATGTAAATCACATATTAGTTAATTAATTTATTACCAAAAACCTAACTAAATTTTCACCCAAAGGTGTGATTTAGTGTCCGAATGAAGTGGAGGCAAATCTTCGAGACATATGATCAAATTCCAGCATACACAAAAAATACGACTAAGTGATTCCTTCTCATCTGTGTAAACCTTAGTAGGAAAAACCTTATACATATATTGGTGGAGATAGCAAATAAGTTAAAAGACAGAGCAAATATAAATTGGTCATCATACTACGGTTATTTAACAACAACAAAAATAACTAATTGAGATGGTGCCAAAACACACGTTTAAAACTAGGGAGGAAGCCGCAGTGAACCTTCCAAGTATGGCCAAGGAAATTAAAATGATGAAAATTAAGACCCTTGTATAGTTTTATTCAAGGAATATTCACTATTTTCATACTTATCCTACTTGCCTCTGGGAAAAAACAGATTTCATGTTACTTGTCCCCAAGTGGTCACAAATTTATGGTCCCTCATGTTTAATTAGGTGTATTTGATACGACAAAAATTATTTTTTAGTTAAATATTTTTTTGATGAAAAAAACGATATTTTTTCATAAAATGAGGAAAATGATTTCACTCATTTATAAGCGAAAAGTTTTATTTTATTTTATTTATTTGGAGAGGTGGAAGGGAGAAAGAAAAAGAGATATTATGCATGTGAATTGGCACTCAATTACTTACGAGTGGAAATTTTAATTTTATATTACTTACGCCGACTAATACTCATACATTATTGTTAATCTTTAGAATTCAAAATTATCCACTGAAGAAAAGGAAAAACAAGAAGAAAAAAAATAAGGAAAGGAATGGAAGTGGTGAACGGAGAAGAAGGGAGAGGTGGGTGGACAGAGGGAAGTGTCACGTCTTTTTTTCTCTTTCTTTTTTCTTTTTTATTTATTTTTAACTTTTTTTCTGCTTATTTAGTATTTAAGAATATGACCCACAAATAACACATGTAAGTAATATATAGTCTAGTATATGACGTGTTGTACATGTCAGCGCAATTAATATACACGTATTACTGAATGTATTTATTTGTACTCATTCTATCAAGTTCGAGTGTTTAAATGGAAAAATTCAAAGTTCATATATTAGCTTTAAACTAGGAAACCATTACGCCTAAATTGAAGTAAATAACTTTTTACCTCCTAAGGCTAAGCTGTGGGTGCAATTAATGCAACTGTACTATAAGGTTTCATTTTCACCCAATCCTTCTCTTTCACTTATCCAACTTCGTACATTTCCCTACCAAAGACATTCTCCATTCAGAAAAAATACAATAAATAGTTGATCTAAATTTAGCGTTGGGACTATTGCATGGACAGTAGTTAGGGGCGAATTTGTAAACTCAATAATATTCATTAAAAATGGCAGCATGATGCATTAAGTTTCCGCTATGCGCGGGGTTCGGGAAGGACTAGACTACAAGAGTCTATTGTACACAGCCTTATCTTGCATTTCTACAAGAGGTTGTTTCCACGACGCGAGCCTATGACCTCCTGGTCACATGACAACAACTTTACCAGTTACGCCAAGTTTCCCCTTCATAAAAAAAATTATTAAATATTTATAAATATATAATTGTAAACCTCATTATTATTGTATATTAACTTGATGTTGCCGTAATAATCCATAAATTTCAGATTCTAAATCCGCAGTTGCCCTAAAAATTAGCTGTATACGTCAGTGACAAGCCATATAACCTTTACCAAAGAGTCCACAAACATCTTTATCATCTGGAATAGGCATATCTTATGAGACCACTTATACGGTTTTCTGATTATCATGCAACTTCCAGGAAGGAGAACTATAGTATAACCAACGAAATAGCAATTGTGGACACATCAAATACAGCCATATTGATATATTAACCTGTAACTGTAAAGCCAATAATTTCACGAGCTCCAAAAAAATTCTATTTTTGTATATATATAATTAATTCTTCTCGTACTCGTTGCCTCAGGTTATTCCCAACAATCAATTATTAACAGTACTATCTTTCACTTTTCTTCTTTTCTTTTCCGAGGCTTCTCAAAAAGAATACTTTTGCATCTGCTCTCTCTCTTTAGGTAAATGTTGAATTGTTAATTTCTGTGACCGATTTATTTAATTAAGTTGTTAGATAATATATACTTTTAACTGCTTAATTATATTATGTCTCACTGTGGTTACGCGTGGACCTGATTCTCATTTATGCAATATGTGTAAATTTTCTTCTTCTTCTTTTTTTCCTTTTTAGAGAACTTAGAACCTCTGTGTGGAATATCTCACATTGGTGGAATAGCATCCTTTTGGTCTCTTTAAATGGTCTTGAGCAACAGTGACGGAGCTACAGCACCGGATGTGGGTTCGGCCGAACCCAGTAACTTTTGTTCATACACTATATTTCACTTAAAAAATTCATTGAATATATATAAATATATAATTTAGAACCCAGTAACTTAAAAGGATTGCAATGCCGAACCCATAAGCTTCAAATTCTGGCTCCGCTAGTCTCATCCCAATACTTGATTTACTTAATGTTGAGCCTCCATATTATGTTGTCCACGCTCCAGTTGGGAGTGCTGGAGGGGGTATTGGATATTCTATATTCATGAGGATGGAATCCTTTGGTCTTGCACAATGCTCAGCTCCTAAGCTAGCTTATGGGTTGAGTTACGAACATGGACTTTTTTTTTTTTTGCCTACTCTAGTACCATGTTGAATGGCACGACCGACTTATCTAAAAGGTATAAGTTGTTTGATAGAAAAAGACTTTTAATTATTTCATTATATTATGTCTCAACAGGTAAAATTATTGAGGCGAAATCAGCTCTTTCATGCATGGCGGCTGTTGCTCATCTTGAGGATCCTTTTGGTTTTGAGGATTACTTTCCCTCAATGATTGAAACATTGGGTGCAGAAAGGTTTATGATGGAATTATGCAATGGTTTTAGCTTGCTGATGGATGTAAGCATAGGGCTAATAACATTTGAAAGTTTGAAGAGAAACACTACATTAATGGGATTGCATGAATTGAGAGATGATGAGCTTGTTTGTATGTTGGCTGAAGGAGATTTGGATGGAGATGGAGCTCTTAATCAGGTTGAGTTTTGTGAACTCATGTTCAGATTGAGTCCCGGATTGATGGATATATGACGTGAAATCATCCATTGATGCTTGCGTTAGGATAGGTTACAGGAACACGTGCGAAATGCTTCGTGTACCTGGATTATTTATGGATGGATGACTCTGGGACTTACTGGTTTTCGTTTCTAATCCCTATATTTTCTATGTCTATTGTTTTAATGGACTTTAATTTTCTTCACTAGAGTGTAACGTACGGGTTGTAGTTTTGCTAGATTCTGTATTTATATTAGCAAATACATTAAATATGTATTTAATTGCGAATCCAATAACCAAGACAAGCTATGAATTTGATGATAAATTCTGAACTCATAAACTTTAAATTCTGATTCTGCCTTTATTTTTCTTTGTTTATCTTTTCTAGCGGGAGTAATTTGTACTAATATCAAGAGATGCTTGTTGCGGAATATGTTTTAATTGCTCTACCTATTCTAAAATGATAGTCATATATAGTTCATCCAATGATTTCTATTTCATCAGTTGTTGGCGTATTCATAATGGATTTACATTTATATGCAGTGGCGCTGTAAAGAAACGTTACACTATCAGTGTAATTTAATCGATTACAATTGGTTATTACTTTTGTTTTTGGTTGTCGCATCACTTGCTTGGAAGAGTTCTAATTGTTGTATATTAATTCTATCTGTTGGTATAAACAAAACTTGAACTCATTCTTAATATAGCTAGGTAACTAAAACGAGCTATGAGTTTGATGATAAATTCAGAACCCATAAACGAGCTATGAGTTTCATAATAAATTCAAAACCCATAAACTTTAAATCCCGACTCATCTGAATTCAATACTATGTGATGTGAAGCTCATATGTCCTTTACCAATAACCTGAATCCATGAAGTGACTTAAAGTTGAATGCAGTAAATATATCATTACATTACAGAAGAAGATAGGAACTTATGACAAACAACACTTTTGTTTTTGGAAATTCCTCATGACTAGACGTTTAAACTAATAGAACTTGAACAAAAGAAGAAGAATATATAATCTAATAATACATCTAGTGGTATATCTGAATGGGATTGTTATGCAAATAGCCGGTCAGAGTTTATGGTTACTTTTTCTAGTCGGTATATATAGATTGAACATTATACACAGTTATATACATGTATAACATATTAGTTATACATGAATTATACATATATTATCCATCCGTCAGACTATTTTGCGTTTAACATGTTAGGTGAGATTAATTCTTCTGTAACATCACATCAAAGTGAGGTTGCGGACAATCTGTGGCGGATGCACGTAGGGAGTTGTAAGCACCCACTAACTTTGATCATATTAATAAATTTATATAGGTAACCTTACAAATATTTAGATAAATATTGAGCGAGCACCCATAAGTAAATTCATTTTTCCTTTTCTTTTGAAGTTTTTATCGACGAACACCAATAACTTTAAAATCTTGAATCTGCCACCGCCGACAATGGACATAAAGACTGGTAAAAGCCAGTTCATTGGATAATGCAAGATATCGTTATAGATTATGAGGTTTATTGAAATATGTAAACACGTGAACTTTCTTTATTTTATTCTGCCTTTTTCAACGCCACAAAGATACCTTTTTGGTATAATTAACCATCTATATCTGAAATTTACGACTAGTTCAGATTTCCTAAAAATAAAATAAAAACTTTATATAAATAGTCGGTTGAATTTATTATTATTATTTTTAGTCAGTATTCATAAATTTATATAGCATCAACAATATTATCAACAATAACGACCAGAAGCCAGTGAATTTCCACCACTATCCTAGAAGACAGAGAAAATATTTTCGAAAGACCCTCGGCTATATAAAGATAAAAAGAAGTAATGGCAGCAAGTATAAACAACAATAAGATAAAAAGAAGTAATGGCAGCAAGTATAAACAACAATAAGATAAAAAGAGGACCGAAGCCAAGATAGCAATTAAAACGGTAATAATAGCAGTCTAAGAGTAAAGGGATTACAAACTAACACTAGTGCTATCGAAATGAGGAAGACAAAGGGAAACACTCGATTACCCCCTAACCTTCTACCCTAATCCTTGATCTCCATACCCTTCTCTCAAGAAATTAGATGATTCAAAGCTGGTCGCCCGAATCCTTGATCTCCATATAGCACACGAAAATTTGAAAATCGTGTTGAATTCCTGTTTTATGGCCTTAAAACGCCAAAAATTAGAAACGGTCATGGCGAATCGATGCCTATTGTTCATTAGGTCATTTTTATGGTCCCGCAAAATTTTAGGCGATTCGAAGCCGGTTACCCGAGTTCATGCAGATGACGTGGAATATAACATACGAAAATTTGGAAATCGTGTTGAATTCCTGTTTTATGACCCTAAAATGCTAAAAATGAAGAATGGTTATGGAGAAGTGATGCCTATTGTTCATTAATTTATTTTTTATGGTCCCACAAAATTTTAGGTAATTCGGAGTCTTTCACCCAAATTCATGCGGACAACATGGACTATAGCATACGTAAATTTGGAAATCGTGCTGAATTTCTATTTTATGACCCTAAAACGCAAGAAACAAGGAACGATCATGACGAAGTGATGCTTATTGCTCATTAGGTCATTTTTTATGATCCCGCAAAATTTTAGGCGATTCGAAGCCGGTCACCTGAATTCATGCAGATGGCGTGAACTATAACAAACACATATTTGGAAATCGTGTTGAATTCCTATTTTATGGCCCTAAAACGCCAAAAATGAGGAATAATCATGGTGAAGTGATGCTTATTGTTCATGAGGTCATTTCATATGGTCTCGCAAAATTTAGGCAATTTGGAACCGGTCGCCCGAATTCATGATGATGACGTGGACTATAGCACATGAAAATTTGGATATCATATTGAATTCCTGTTTTATTGCTCTAAGACGCCGAAAAATAAGAAACGGTCATGGCAAAGTGATGTCTATTGTTCAATATTTTTATGGTCCCGTATAAATTTAGGTGATTCGGAGCTGGTCGCTCGAATTTATACAGATGGCGTGATAGCACATGAAAATTTGGGAATCATGCTGAATTCCTATTTATAGCCCTAAATGCTAAAAATTGAGGAACGGTCATGGTGAAGCGATGACTATTATTCATAAGGTCATTTTTATGGTCCCGCAATATTTTAGGTGATTCCGAATCAGTATCCCGAATTCATGCAGATGGCGTGGACTATAACACACGAAAATTTTGAAATCATGCTGAATTCCTGTTTTATGGCCATAAAACACCAAAACATAAGGAATGGTCATGGAGAAGTGATGCCTATATTTAATTAGCTGATTTTTGATGGTCTTATAAATTTTAGGCGATTCAGAGACGGTCGCCCGAATTCATACAAATGATATAGACTATAGCATACGAAAATTTGAAAATCGTGTTGAAATCCTGTTTTATGGCCCTAAAATGCCAAAAAATAAGGAACGTTCATGGCCAAAAAAGTCTATACTTAGTGTCGTCATGTGTGCACCTCATTCCCATTTATGTAATATGTGGAATTTTTTTCCTTTTTAGGTAGCGGTGAAACTGAAACTCAGGATCTATGATTGAGGCCAACCCTGCACTACTACAAAGTAGCGAGAGTGGTCGAAGCAACTCCTACCCGAGAAGGTCGGGATTGATTTCCACAGGGAGCTAGAAATGGGAATTGAGTTTCTATCTAAATTGGAGATGCATAATTGCTCTTAATTGCACTTCTAATCATAGTTGGTTTTGAGATTACTTCTAAATTTATACTAATAAGATGCTAAATTAAGCTAAGTTAAGCTAAGAGCAAGATACTTGAAGGTTGTCTAAATAGTTAAAAGGCGCTAGGGAAGTGACTTTCTCCTAGTGGACACTTGACAGGTTCTCGAGTATAAGACTAGGTTGTCATGTTGGGGCTTACGATATAACCCTTGCATGATACTACTCACTCTATACCTCTCGGTAGTTTGAGTGATTTTGTCCTAATTGACTTTCTCAAGACTAGTTGGATATGATAATTTGTGCAAGCAATTGAGGTTCAAGTCGGGTATTACTATCTCTAGGTTTAACCCTTTAATTGGAGCTATCAATCTCTTGAATACACCCCAATTCCTTGTTGGACTAATTTTCCTTGACTTAGGCTCTCTTTCTCAAGAAGAGCCCAAGTCAAATAGGCACAAATTAGTGTTTGCAACCACTAATTCAACATTAAAACCATAAATTAGTCCAAATATCAAACACCCATAGATATTCAAGCCCTAAAACACAAGACACATCAAATACCCACACTAGGATTGATCCACAACCCTAGCTAATGGGTCTAGCTACTCATGATAATAGAAGAAAACAAAGAAATAGATGAAGAAAAATACATAATATTTAATTACAAGCTAAACTTGAAGATTCAATGGTAAAACTATTGTAAAATTACTCAAAATGGATAAGGAACACTGTTCACGAGCACAACTCTACGTTAAACTACAACTGGTAACCTAAAAATGAGAAAATAAACTATTTATACGAAGCTAAATTTTCTGGACAAAAATACCTCTGTGGGGCCGCACTGAGGCTCTTGGCTTAAAACTTCTGCTCACTGAACTTGGCCACCGCGGGCCGCACAAAAGGCACCACAGCCGCGGTGGCTTCTATTGCGGTCCGCACAAAAAGGACCGCGGACCGCATTGGCAATGATTCCCTAAATTGGCAACTCTCTGAACTTTAGCTTTGCGGACCGCACAATATCGAGTGAGGCCGCGATGAAGCCAATGTGGTCTGCACAAAATGCTTTGCGGCCGCATTGCTTGAGTGTCTGAAATGAGCACCTCTCTGAACTTCCTCACTGCAGACAGCACAGAATGGAGTGCGGCCGCATTGGACCTGTTGCACTGTGCTTGGATTTGTTCTTGGTACTTGTGCATGTTTCACCCCTTTTTGAGCTGGTTTTGACGAATTGTCACCTTGTTGACCAAACCCTGCAAACAAGTACAACATGTGAGCCTTTGGGACTATTTTGTACACATTTTTAATTAAAACTCAAGTAAGAAGGAGTGTAAAATGCATCATAATCCCTAGTTATCAACTCCCCCAAACTTAAGCTTTTGCTTGTCCTCAAGCAAACAAAATAAGTCCCACCCTTTTAGAGTAAATCCAAGAAAATTCAGCTGACGTAAAGTGACCTCATCGAGCATCAATTGGGACTAATAATTGCCCTCAATTCAAATGAATCATTAACAACATTCGACCTTTTAAGCACCATGGATTTATTACGACACAAGAGCATCAAGAGTTGACTCAACACTTCAAAGAAACTCTTTCTACTACCTTGGTCATTGTGGAAC